GCCCAACCTGAACCTCCCCTGGTGCAACTTAAGTCCATGTCCTCTCATCCTGTCCCTTGTTTCCAGGGAGCAGAGCTCAACCCCCTCCAGCTCCCCTGTCCTGTGCCCCTGGAAGCCCCCCTGAGCCTCCTTGTCTCCAGGCTGAGGCCCCCAGCTCCCTCAGGTGTTATTTGTGCTCTAGACTCTTCCCCAGCTCCATTCCTTTCTCTGGACACATTCCAGCCCCTCAGTATCTTTCTTGTCGTGAGGGGCCCAGAACTGGACACAAGATTCGAGATGCCTCAGCAGTGCCCAGCACAGGAACAGGCACTGCCCTGGTCCTGCTGCCACACCATGGCTGGTACAAGCCTGGATGTCACTGGCCTTCTTGGCCACCTGGGCACACGCTGGTGTGCCAACTCCCCACACCCAGCTGTGGAAGCAAAGAGCACCCACAGGCAATGAGAGCCACTCTCCCAGTTTTTCCTGGCTGGTTCAGGTGCCCAGGTGGGAGCAGAGTGCAGGAAAACAACTGGCACTGAGTAAGGGGAGTAAGGGGCTCCACGGGGAGCCCCAGCTGCCAGCTCGTCACAGGCGTGTGCTGAGCCCTGCACCGACAACAGCCCAGTCTGCCTCAGATCTCTAACTCAGGGCCATCCAGTATATCCACAAGCTGCAGTATCATTTCTTGTTCTCCCCAGCCTAGCATGGGTTAGTAGCTGAAAAAAATACACATTAATTACTTTCAGATCTCTAATTCTGATCCATGAACTACACAACCAGCTACCACAGCATTGCTATTCCATGCATGCTGTTGGAAAGGCCCCACTTTGCATTACAACAGTCACACTGATTTCATACTGTTCCCCATCATGATATGAAAACATCTGTCAAGATAATAGTTGCTGTAAAATCTTAACAGAAGGTAGCCTGGAGCAAGGGCTGAGATACAAAACTGTGCCTGTCACACTGCAAAGCAGGGATGTCAGGAGACTTGGGGAGCGCAGGTGAATCTGCACATCTCAGTTTTGGAGTTTTTTTCTTTGGTGTTAAGAACATGCATTAGATTTTCCTGTCTCAAGAAATAAGTGTACAAACCTTACTATGTCTGGACTTGCCTGTGCTTCAGAGCCCCTGAATGATTGACAAGCTGTATGATTTGGGATGACAGCTTTGTGCGATTGAAAATCAGAAAGTCCCATGATAGATACAAAACTTAAGTCTCCCTTATAAATGACAGTAGGAATTGAATGAGTGGGACACTGCCGGTGTTTCAAGCCAATCAAGAAAGTTCCAAAATTTCAGCAAGCTGAAGAAAGATTACTGTTGTTATTCTGTGTGTCTGGAGTTTTCCAGAGAGCAACTACTTTAGAAACTCTCTGTATTTCCCTCTGGTAAGGCAGCTGGTCTTCCCACTCTGCAGGGGAGATCATAAAGGAATGATTTGTCTCTTCTACAGGGAAGAGATCAGACTCAAAGCAGGCTGTGACACTTGGGTTCCAGCTTCTGAGTACAGGATTTCAGGAGGACATCCAATCCCCAAGGGCTTGACATGAAGCCACTTGTGCTGTGCAGGGGATTGTTAAGCACCCCAGAGGGACAAATCACAAACTCTTCTAAAAAAGGGGGGATCTGCTTAGCCTGAGCTGGTCTTGGAGGTCTTTTCCAACCCTAATGATTCTGTGGGTGGGGTCCAGCCCCCTTGCTTTGGGCATGCCTGGGAGCAGGAAATGCCCTGTCTTAATCACACTGGCAATTCAGTATCAGGAAAAAGTCCCAAACTGCTTATTGGTCTGGTGTGTCTCAGTTTTTGCTCTCAGCACATTCACTGTGCTGAGTTCAAAGGGCTGATCACAAGGGATGAGGGCTAAAAAAAGCTTTTCTCTCATCCTCCAGGCTTAGGGGGATTCTAGGAATTCATAGTTCATGAGATATGTGGCTGTCGTGTCCATTTTTAGTGACCTTAAATGAAATTACGGGCAACATGGAACATGTTTTTCAAAACGCTGGTGACTGACTCTGCTGCAAGCCCACAAGGTTAGTTCTTGTTGTGCAAACACAAGCAGGGTCAGCCACTGTGGCCTAAAGACAAGGTGATGTCCCCTGTGCTGCAGCAGCAGTTGCAGGTGTCCCAGGGTGCTCCAACTCGGAGTGGTGCTTTGGGAGGTGGCAGGAGCTATTTGGAGTGGGCTTCTGGCTTCACACAAGTCCTGTAGGCTTCGTTCTGCTGAGGGAAAGCTGGTGCTGCAGCCTTGGATGAGCATCCATGCAGAACAGAGAGAAAATAGGGCTTACTGAGCAGTAACAGAAGATGACCAGAACAGAGATCCTTCCTCTCCTGCACCAGGAGCTCACTCCATCTGTGCATGAAGGCTCCCACTGCTCCTGCCAGTCATTGCCTGGCTGCTCTGTACCAATCAAACTATGCTTGGGACTGGGAGACCTCCCTTCAAAGCCCACTCTGGCCCCAGGGAACTCATACCCGCTTTTCAAGAGTTTTTGAGTCACCTTTGCTGGTTTTGCAAAAGTCAGTGAAGGCTTGATCTCATGGGAAATGTGCATCTGGGATCACAGATTTTTAGGCCAGGAAGGCAGTACCCCAGCAGCAGCCTGGCTGTGCTGCCCTGAGATGGGAGAGCTCAGCTCCAAGTCCTGCCTGTCCCCCTGCCTCTCCTGCAGAGTTGGGGAATTTTGCTGCAGTTGTATTTTTTCCATGCTAATTCCCACTGTTTTCCTATGCTTTTCAGGGCACACACGTTGGCTGAACTGGATTCAAGGGTGTTTTGGCAGCCTGGTCTGAGAAACCTGTGGCACAGCCTTGGTCTGAGGAAGGGAGAGGAATGACTGAGTCTATGGCCAGGCCTTACTGCCTGAGCTGCCCACGTCAGAGATGCAGAGGTGCAGTGTGTCCTTGCTCAGCCTGTTTCTCCTAGACACAGCTCTGCCTTCCCCAGGCACAGCCAAGCTTGCAGCCCCAGAGGTTCAGGTGAAAGTGCTGCTCTGGGTCACTAGTGCTCAGGACTGAGCAGAGCTGTTACTGTCCTAGTGGGCTGGCAAAGGGGGTAGTGCCCAGTGGTTTTGTGGCTACTGTTTACCCTTACCAATATCCTTCTCACATGGGAATTGCAATCATCCATGTCTAAGAACCTTCTTAGAACGATATGATGAGGCTTCTGCAGCTCTTTTTGGCAGCAAGGGCAGTGAACATCCTGAGCAGCCAAAATTGTATTTGGAGCTACGTTTCTGTACCATATTCAAGGTTTGGCATTCATGAAGTGTCCATCCCTGGCTAGATTTGGGTGTTGTTCTTTCTGATTAGTCTCTATTTTGCCATGGTTTATCACATCATATTTCAGTCATGGCCTCTCATCCCATCCCCCCGACCCATGCAGTGATGGGAAGCCACAAGAGTTGCCATAACTGATCCTAACACCTTTTTTCCTTTCCATGGCCTTGGTCTCCACCCCACACAGGGCTGCTTTGCGTTCCCTCACCACTGTGCAGCTCTGCCCAGGCATCCTGTGAGCAGGAGCAGGGAAGCAGGTCCCTTCTGCACTATTATTTCTTTGACATGTGGGTGAGAGTAGAAGGAAGTGCTGGCCATGGTCATAGCTGGCAGGAGAGCATGTGACTGGGAGAGGAAATTCTCACAAGAAAAAGTCTGCAAACCACAGATAGGTCCCAGAGTTACCAAAGTTGGAAAAAGAGCAGCTCCTTTTCTTACACACTGTATATGGCAAAAAATGAACATGAATTGTGAGCAGGAAGGAGTGTCAATCCCTTCCTTCCAAATATAGGGAAGGGGCTGAACCAAGAGGACCAAGCTGAGCTTATAAAAGCAGTCGGGGAGAAAGCCCTTGGTGGCTCCCGATGTCCTGGCCAAGCTCATGGCCATGCTGTGACTGACCTGCAGAGTGGCAGAGGGCTCCTGCCACAGGTCCTGTTCCCTGTGCTTGGAGCTTTGCAAGGTTGTAGCGCTGCAGTGGGAATTCTGCTGTGGATTCCCTGCTGGGCCATTTCTTGGGCAGGGAAGGGCGGATCTCTGGTGAACTGTGCTGGCCCTCAGCAGGCGCAGTGGCTTGCAGTAAGTGAGGGGTGTCAGGCCTTTGGAGAGGCTGTAGCTTTGGTGAAGTCTGACCTTCCACTCTTTCTCTTGCAGAGATCTGAGATGTCAGCCTGTTCCTTCCTGCTTTCTGTTGACTGATTGTTAAGGTGAGAATTTAAGGCATGAAAACTAACATCTTGCCCAGGCTGGCATGAGCTGATTTTTCCCTTGCACTCACCGTGGGCAGGTCCCTGTTCTTCCTCCTGCATGAGCTGCTCGTGTCTATTCCTGCCCGCTGTGGCTGCCCACCAGAGGACTAGGACAGGCTCCATGTTGATAGGGAGTGGGGGAAGTCATAAATGAAAAACCAGGAAAAAGACAGTCTTCAGGGCTTCACTTTTTCTAAGGACTATGTTAATCCTTTAGAGATCCCTCCCTTTTGCCACACTTCCACTGGGAGCCATCCTGCTCCTTTGGGCATGGATCTCCTTTCCCTGGGGCCATAAAGGGTGGCAGCTCCTTTTCACTAGGTTTGTACATTCCAGCTTTGAAAGACAAACATCTCCCTGAAGACCTGCAGCAGGTGAGGGCTGGGAGGGGTGAGCTCAGAGCAGACAGCTGGGAAGGGCTGTGGATGTTCAGCTTCACTCTGCTCTAAGGACTGCCCAGGGGACCAGCACAGGGGGTGTCTTTCAGCTCCAGCCATGAGCAGAGACGCTGCCATGGAAGTTTTTGGTGAGGCTGCACCGTACCTGCGCAAGTCAGAGAAGGAGAGAATAGAAGCCCAGAACCAGCCATTTGATGCCAAGACCTACTGCTTTGTGGCTGACCCTGAGGTGGAGTACACCAAAGGGAAGATCAAGGCTGCACAGGATGGGAAGATAACTGTGGAGACAGAGGATGGCAGAGTAAGTGCATTTCTCCTGGTCCTGCTGAGGGACCCAGGGCGTTGCTGGGGAGGGCAAGGAACGCTATGGCTATGGTTCTCTCTGCTGTTCCGGACTTTGCAAACTTTGGAAGTGTCTCCTTTTCACCCCCAAACTCTCAGGTTGTACTCTCCTCATAGGAAAGCCATTTCATATGTGTGACCATCTTTGTTTCTCTTCTCTGGAGCATTTCTAGTACAATTCTATCCCTTCTAAGAGGTGCGATCAGTAATGAAGGTGTGGATGAACTGATGGACACTTCCTACATAACACTCCCTTCTCTTCTCCCTTTTGTTTTCTAACTATTCCTAATATTTTAGAGCTTCCTGCCATCTCCTGAGCGCTGAGCTGCCATTATGTTAGTAGTGACTCCCAGGTATGTGCTGTGAGGAGCAGTTAATGCACGATCTCTTGTTCTACATGGAGACTTCCTGCGAGTCCTAATTGCTCAGGTGTTTGAGTGCTTTAAAAAGGTATTTAGGGATACATATCACAAAGCTGCTTTTGGAAACTGGGCCTATAATTCTTGCTTTCTCAAAGGAGTCCAAGACCATTCCACTAGTCAGGACTTGAGGTAAGAAATAGTGTTCAGTCTTTCTGAATCAAATATGATTCCACACTATTTCCTCCTTGCCTTGGACTAGTCAGCTTGGACCAGTCCATGGGAGAAACAATTTCAGCAATGGATAAAAGCAGTGGGATGAGTCATCTGAATAAATTACAGCAGGATTTTCAAACTCTTTCATGGTTCATAGTGGCTGAAATGAGCTGCTACCAGCTGTGAACATCTGCTTTCCTGTACATCTTCTGCCTCCCCCCCCATCTCCACAGGCCCTGGCTGTGTGAGGGGGCAGTCACCCACAGTGTGAGCCCAGCAGACGGTGCTGTTTGGAAGAGATAGAGCCATTCTTCAATTAGGAATGGCCACAGGCAGGAGTGGAACAAGTCAGTCCCAAAGCAGGATTTGCTATTGATGAATCTTGTGCTGAAGACCTGAAGTTCATAAGCAGCAATAATGTGTGGAAAGATCTGCTCCATCAGAAATCCTGTCTTTGTGCTTGTAGCAGTTCCAGGACAGTAAATGTACATCGTGTCAGTTTGACAGTATTGTAGAGCTCCTGGCTGGCAGCAGTGTTTACCCTGAAATAGCCATATCCTGTTTTGCACAGTTAAACAGAAAGAAAAAATATGAATTAGAGCAGCCTTACAGATGTTATTACTTCTCTGAGTTTGTGTCTCAGTGTGTACTTAAGAAAGGACTGTTGAGAGTTGCTGAATCAAGGTTCACTCTTTCTTTCTGAATTATAGACAGTTGCTGTCAAACCTGATGATGTGTATGCCATGAACCCACCAAAGTTTGACAGAGTTGAGGATGTGGCCATGCTGACCCACCTGCATGAACCCGCCGTCCTCTACAACCTCAAGGACCGCTACAGCTCCTGGATGATCTATGTAAATTCCCTCTTCTGGCAAAGGTGAAAGTACAGCCACAGGAGCTGGACTTCAGTGACTCTTCTGTTCCATTTTTTTTCCTGCAGACCTACTCGGGTCTCTTCTGCGTCACTGTCAACCCCTACAAGTGGCTGCCCGTGTACAACCCGGAGGTGGTGTTGGCCTACCGAGGCAAGAAGCGCCAGGAGGCCCCTCCACACATCTTCTCCATCTCTGACAACGCCTATCAGTTCATGCTGACTGGTGAGTGGCTCTATTTTGACCAGGTTCATAGAAAAAACTGTGTCAGAAATGCAGTTCTGCCAAGTGCCATTCCACTCCTGCCATGGGCTCAGTCACCTTTGCAGGGTGCTACCCCAGCTCCTTGGTCTGGGTCGTGGTGTAGATTGTCTGCTTAGTCTCCTAATTACTGTGCAACTATTTTAGCTCTGAATGATGCGAAACCTGCTCCAGACAGCTTTCCCTGTCTCCTGAAATGTTTGTTTTTTTTTTTTTTATTTTTGAAGCATCTGCTGTTGTGCTGCACATTTATCTGCATTCCCGGTCTAAGTACTAAGCTAAGGACCATAACAGGGACCTCTGCAAAGGGCAGTTGCAGTTGGATAGGATACACTACCTGGGAAGTCCCTAGTCAGCACACCTGAACGTGGCTTCAAGCAACAGCAGGTAGATTCAGAACAGAGCTGGTAGAAATATTTTCACCAAAGTACATGGGTTTAGTTTGAATAAGGTCCTGTCTTGTATTAAATATCAATAAAATTAGAAATGATAAAGACAGAAGCAAGAAAGACTGCAGCAATGGTGGAGGGGAGAAGACAAAAAGTGGAGTATAGGGAGGGGAAGAGAGGAGGAGAGAAGACCATGCAGCTTTTCAGTTTTGCCTGCAGAGATTTTGTTTCATTCCCTCTGATGGACACCAGGTCACAGTTGCCCGAGAACCAGCACTTTTCCCTACAGCTTTTCTGACTACAGGTATTTTTCCCTTTGACAGATCGTGAAAACCAGTCTATCCTGATCACGTAAGTACATCTGTCATTTTGGGCTTTGTGTCGAGCAAAAAGGGGCTGGATTTTTCTTCACTGTGCTTTCTTTCAACAGTGGGGAATCTGGTGCCGGGAAGACTGTGAACACAAAACGTGTCATCCAATACTATGCAACCATTGCAGCCAGCGGGGACCCAGCCATGAAGGAGTCTGGGATGAAGGTGTGAGGAGGAGGGGCTGGCAAGGGGCAGTTCAGGATGTCCACTTGTGGCTGTGGACAGCACTGGTGACAAACATTTCCCTCAAGATATCTTTTATTAGCCTCAGTCACTCTCTCAAAAGGCAGCAGGACCAGGGGCTGATGTGCAGGTACGACCACAACAAATACAAGCCACTGGAGCTGCCACTGACACTGCACATGTGTAGCTTTACCTGGACTGAAACCAGGTCTGTGGGATTGGTGTCCAGGAAGAATCAGAGTTTTCCTCACATGGATCAGTCTGTCCCTGTGGCTGAGACCTGAGAACTCTGACAATGAGAGAAATTCTGAATAAGAGCCAAATGACTCATTCACTGTTTACCCCCAGTGCTAGTTCTTGGTGCTGGAGTCAAAAAGGTGCTGCAGTAGCACTGCACAGCTGAAATGAAAGGCACATGGCTGCACATATAATCATGCCATAGATTCACTTCTTCCTACCACAAAGCTCATGGTGTTTTTCAATAATTATTCAATTATTCCTGCAGGGTACGCTCAAGGATCAAATCCTCAGCGCCAACCCACTGCTGGAGGCCTTTGGGAATGCCAAGACGATGAGAAATGACAACTCCTCACGCTTTGTGAGTCATCCTGTGTCTGTCTCTGCCCTCCTGCATTTCTAATGCTCTTTACCTGCTTGTTAGTTGCAACTGGGAGCCCCTGGGCTGGGAAAAATGTTCTTGTTGACCAGTTTTCGTGGTTGGTTGTGAGATGCTGATGTGTTTGCAGCTGTTTCATGCTCACAGCTATGTGGGCTGCAGCAAACTGTTCCCCATTATCTAGATTTGGATATCTAAGCTAATTCAGACTGATTTGGAGGTGCTGTCACTGAAACTCAAGAGAGAAAAACAGAGGTTGCTGCACTGACCACTATCTTTTGTCTGCTTGCCAGGGTAAATTCATTCGTATCCATTTTGGAACCTCTGGGAAACTGGCGTCCGGTGACATTGAGACCTGTGAGTGACTGAGGGGGGCTGACTGCTCTGCTAGAAGGCGAAGAGCCTGAAAAATTTCTATGCATACATATTACAGACCTGCTGGAAAAGTCAAGAGTCACTTTCCAGCTGAAAGCTGAGAGAAGCTACCATATCTTCTACCAGATCCTCTCCAATAAGAAGCCTGAACTGCTTGGTAAGGACAGCCATCACCTGGTGACATTAAGTAAAGTCACTGTGGGAAACATTTCCCCTCAACATGCCAGCTCAGTGATGGAGGGTCCAGTGGCAACTGCTGCCCTGGTGCCATGTGTCACCCGCCCCCAGGTCCTCCTTTGGCAGTGCCTCAGGCTGTGCAGAGCAGGGACACTTTGGTCATGCTTATTGACATCCCTGACATCACGGTGTTGGCCACGCCAGGGATACCTGCTGTGCACAGCACTGATGTCTCTGTGTGACAGGGGACACACTCAGGGTTACTCCACCTCCCATTTATTCTCCCTGGGTAAGTTCTAATATAAACTGTGTGCAGGTGAGGTGCAGGGGTGAATGGCTTTCCTCTGTCTTCCTTGTCTCTTAATAGAAAACCAAGACTTTGGGATGCAAAAGGAAGGAGAGCTTGTGAAATCTTGCTGAGCCATTGTTCCAACTACCCTGCTAAGTTCTGGCTCTCACTCCTGTGTTTGCCTTTCAGAGATGCTTCTCATCACTGCCAACCCATATGACTACCCCTTCATCAGCCAAGGGCAGATCTCTGTGGCGAGCATTGATGACCAGGAGGAGCTTGTTGCCACAGATGTGGGTACTGTTAATGAGGACAGTCTCACTCTTACTCTCACCACTGCTATAACCAGCTGATCTATCTCATCTGCAGGCAGCCATTGGCATTTTGGGCTTCAGCTCTGATGAGAGAATGGGGATTTACAAGCTGACAGGGGCAATCCTGCACTACGGAAACATAAAGTTCAAGCAGAAACCACGTGAGGAGCAAGCAGAGCCAGATGGCACAGAAGGTAATACTTTCATGGCTGTGAGAGAACTATTTCCAACTGGTTTCCATACCATTTTTCACTAGAAACAGCAGGAGTTTTCCAGGAGAGATGCAGTTGTTCCGTAATGATCACAAAAAAAAAGGTTTGGCTTTCAGCTTACCAGCTCCAGTAGAGTCACTTTCTGCATCCACTTTATTCCTGATGACTCTGCTGAAGGACCTTGTGCCTAGGACATACTATTACTGTAGTGTTCACGAGTTTCTGGTCACACATCCAGACTTGGGCTGCTTGGGTGACATTGTGGAGAAGTGGCTCGAAGGGAAAACCACTCTTGTCCCATTACCAATGCCGTCACAGGTTCCAGCTAGGAACCTGCCATCAGCTAGGGCTGCCATAGCCATTCCATCACGAGGACCAGCTCTACAAGGCTGTTCAGAAGAGTAAATGAGAATGTTAGTCAAGCTTTGTGGATAGGCTAAAGCCACCCACGTTGCAGGTTTCGGAGTGAGCTCTGGCTGGTTCCAATGCACTCTGTAGGTCTAAGCTAAGAAGAAAGTATTTCCGCTTATGATTTTGTTTTCCAGAGGCTGACAAAGCAGCATATCTGATGGGCCTGAACTCAGCAGACTTGCTGAAAGCTTTGTGCTATCCCCGGGTGAAAGTGGGAAATGAATATGTCTTGAAGGGCCAAACAGTGGATCAGGTGAGTGTCAAGGAGCAGCAGGGACCATCCTCTGCCTAAAGGAAGGAATGGGTGCAGGTCACAGCTGAGCTGGTCAGAACCATTAGGGGCTGTTAGTGCACTGTGTGGGCTGTGTACCTGGGCACGCTGAGGGTTTATTCTGGTGGGGCCCTGGCAGTGCCCTGACAGAGGTGTGTGAACCATCTCCCTCCAGGTGCACCAGGCAGTGAGTGCCATTGCCAAGTCAGTCTATGAGAAACTCTTCCTGTGGATGGTGATGCGCATCAACAAACAGCTGGACACAAAGCTGCCAAGGCAGCACTTTATTGGGGTCTTAGACATCGCTGGATTTGAGATCTTTGAGGTTTGATTTTATACAGCACTCTCAGACTTCTGGCTGTCTTTAAATTCTTTTTCATTTTGTTTGACTTCTATGACCTCTCCTCCTCCTCACCCCAGTGCAACCCTCAAGAACAGGGCAAATCTCTCTGAAGCTGCTTCTGCCTTTGTAGATCCATCACCTACTTTATAAGAGAAGAGACATGGCAGAAGCATAGCAATGAATCTGCTGTCCCCCTCCCCACAGAATCTGCATTTAGTGACATTAGGGCCATCCAAAAACATAGCCAGTGCAGGCTACAGCAACCATGTGCTGCACAGCACAACTTCTCTGTAAGCCTGGACCACCCATGGTATATTCTTTACACTGTTATCAAAACCCTTCTGAGACAGCCTGGCTGACTTTGCTATGACATCTCTGTGAAATAAATTGATTGGAGGCAGTTTAACTTTACTAACACACTTACTCAAACGTTAGTTCAACAGCCTGGAGCAGTTGTGCATCAACTTCACCAATGAGAAACTGCAACAGTTCTTTAACCACCACATGTTCGTGCTGGAGCAGGAGGAGTACAAGAAGGAGGGAATTGAATGGACATTCATTGACTTTGGGATGGACCTGGCTGCCTGCATTGAGCTTATAGAAAAGGTGAGTTTCTTAAGCATCTTTGGCACTCACACAAATTGGATCTGGAAGGGATTCTTGAGAGTGTTTGCATTGAGTGCCTTCAATGCAGTCTCCCTGTGAAGCTTTCAGGTCTCCTCACCTCCTCTGTTCCTTTAAACATCACCTTTGTGATTAATTATCTACTGACTGCGAATGTATTCTGTCTTCTAAAAAGACACTGCTCTTCCTTTTCTTTCTTTCGCTCTTTCTTTTTCTTTCTTTCTTTCTTTCTTTCTTTCTTTCTTTCTTTCTTTTTCTTTCTTTTTTTTAAAATTTTTTCTTTCTTTCCCTTCCTTCCTTCCTTCTTCTCTTTCTCATTATAAATTGTCATTTTTCATTGTCACATTTACCCTAGTTGTCCTCTGCATATTGGTTCCTGCTCAGGTTTTCCTCTCAGTTAAATTCAAAACCTGATGTCTGCTTGCTTTTTGTTCCTTCTGGGTAAGGAGAAGTCACTACTGTATTCTAAGAAGTTACTACACAGTTTTTGCTTGGCTTCTTTTGTTTTTCAGACACTGTCTGTGTAGTTCAAAACTATTCATGAAAATCTTTTGAGTGCTTTTGAATATCTTGCTAGCTGTTCACAACAAATCTTGCTTACTTGCTCCTCCCAGGCTAATTCTCTATAAAATACCTCCAGTACTTTAATTTGAGCATTTCTTTTACTCTGTATTATTGTAACTTGAATTTATCTCATTTGAAAACATCCTTTTTCTATTCAGCCCATGGGCATCTTCTCCATCCTGGAAGAGGAGTGCATGTTCCCCAAGGCAACTGACACCTCTTTCAAGAACAAGCTCTATGACCAGCACCTGGGCAAATCCAGCAACTTCCAGAAGCCCAAACCTGCCAAAGGCAAGGCTGAGGCCCACTTCTCCCTGGTGCACTACGCTGGCACAGTGGACTACAACATCACTGGGTGGCTGGAGAAGAACAAGGACCCCCTGAATGAAACTGTCATTGGGCTGTACCAGAAATCATCTGTGAAGGTTTTATGCCATCTTTATGCTGCCTTTTCTTCCATAGATGAAGGTAAGATCAGAGGATTATGCTTGTTCCTACTGTACCTGTCATGTGACATGAGTCACTGTTGAGCCAGTGCTCATGTGCCGTGTGTTAGATGCACAATTATAACCCTGTGAAAGGGATCTGCAGCTGGACTGTCATCTCATTTTCCAGCTGAAGGTGGTGGAAAGAAGAAAGAAACCAAGAAAAAGGGCTCTTCCTTCCAGACTGTGTCTGTGCTCTTTCGGGTAGGTGTGTTCTCTGCTGGGAGGCCAGTGCTGTCACCCCTGGCTGCACAGGATCACCAGCCCCACTTTCTCTGTGGCCACTCTGTGGCAAGTTACATTTGGGATATGGCAAAGGTTGAGTTCTGCTTTGCTGCTGAGGTCCAGTGGGATGGTGGTGGAGAAGGGAGGTGATGTGCTTTGTCAGCACGGGTAGCTGTCTTTGCTTCGCCCTTTGGTGCTACCAACATCCTTCCCTTCTTTGGCTGTCACTGGCTTCTTCCAGCATGTGTCCCTCTGAGAACACTGTGTGGCAGCCAGTGCCTTGCAGAAAGTGTGGGCAACACAAGTTATGTGTTGCAGCCCTAATGCTGCTGCGATGCATCTACACCTGAGGCCAGGAACAGGCTGGTCCCTTCCTGGCAGGATGAGGAGTGCATCATCCCCTGGCTGGGACATGGGCCATACTCAGAATGTGTCATTCTTGCATGAGATGATTAAAGAATTGCACTACCCTGCAGAACAGATGACTTATGATGTCATAGACAAACATTGATTTTGTAGCTCAATTATACTTTAAATCTATGTAATAGATGTATATATATCAATCTCTCCCTGTATAAATGTATATATATATATATGTATATATATATATATATAAAAAAATGTATATATATATATCATAAATGTATATATATATGTATATATATATATATATATATATATATATGTATATATATATATGGTATCCCAGAATATAGTTCATTTTCTTTTTCTTCCATTCTGGTCCTTTTTAAGAGCTCTTATGATGAACCTTGAACTACTAAAGGACACATTTTCATTTTAAGACAGAAGGAGAATTCTCCAATTGTATCCACTGTTAGTAGCCATTTACTTTGCTGATGCCTACACAGAATTGTAGAATATTCACTAGAGCAGTAAGGAAAAACTTCTGAATTTTGATTTTCGTCAGAGTCAAATCCCACTGAGAACTGAAGTAATACAGAGATTGCAAATGATCTCTGTTTTACAGGAAAATCTAAACAAGCTGATGTCCAACTTGCGAACAACTCATCCTCACTTTGTGCGTTGCATCATCCCCAATGAAACAAAGACCCCAGGTAATGCATAAAACACAGATTAGAAAGGGGCAGAAAGAGGAGTTGACCAGTGCTGAACCCATTAATACATCCCCACGTTGCTCTGTCACAGGCCTCATGGATCACAAGCTCGTTCTGCACCAGCTGCGGTGTAACGGTGTCCTGGAAGGTATTCGGATCTGCAGGAAAGGATTTCCTAACAGGATTCCATATGGGGATTTTAAACAAAGGTCTGTAATTGCATTCCTGTGTTTGTATCGAGCCCAATTCATTTGAGAGAAGAGTTTTGCTAAACCAATCAATGATATAGTTGCTAGGAAAAGACTACTTTAATATTTAACAACTATGGAAAGCATGAAGACATATCTAGTAGGTGTGGTCTGTATGGGCAGTGCCCACCCAAATACTTTCCTGAATACTGTACACCAAAACCTATTTTCAAGTTCATTCATGTTCATCTGAATGTTTGGGTATTCTTTGCTTTAATTCTCAAATTTGACACAAGCTTGTTTCAGCAAAAATGCAGAGGGTGGTCTATGCACATCCTGTATTTAACCACTATCTAGTAGAGGTTTGAAGAATGTGGTTTAATTAATTCTTACTAGAGTGGTTTCACTAAGAGAAAATTGTGTTAAACCAAATACCACTTTTTGATGAAATGCCAAGTTTGACTGGCAAATCGGGCTGCAGTAACAAAAGGGACTTGAGCAGGACATCTAAGCTAGTTCCACATGGCCCTCTCATTTTGTACTGAGCTAACATTTCTACATGCTGACATTTCTACAGCATTAGCACATTAATTTATAAGTAAAAACTCCATGACCAAACAATCTTAACTTGGGAACTGCTGTGCAAATAAGACATTTATAAATGGTTGCTAAATTCAGGGCTACCCAGCTGGGGTCGTCTGCTCATTGTGTTTGAACAAAGGCAAATGTAGGGTCAGATCTCTAAGAACAAAGAAATCACACTCCCCCCCTTACAGGTCTGGGCAGGGTGTGCTGGAGAGCAAGACACTGAGAAGGGCTGAACTGGTATTTGGAGCTCTAACAATGTCCGAGGGGGGAGGGGTGTGATGTGGGTGGGCAGATTTGTGAAAACAATAGGAGTGGAATAATCTTTCAGTGTAGTCCATTGCTGGCTATTATGTCTAATTCTGGGTTCCATGCTTTGGGAGGAACAGGAGAAGCTGTATATGGTTCAGAAAAGAGCTACAGGAAAAATGTGAACTCAAGTGCAGGGAGAGATTGAAATCAAACTATGCTGGTGAGGCCCTGGCACAGGTTGCCCAGAGAAGCTGTGGTTGCCCCATCCCTGGAAGGGTTCAAGGCCAGGTTGGAGCAACCTGGGCTAGTGGAAGGTGTCCCTGCCCATGGCAGGGGGTGGAACTGGATGATTTTTAAGGTCCCTTCCAACCCAAACCTTTCTGTGATTCTATTTAACTCATGAAATTGAATGTTAACAGATGATTTGTTTGTGGTGTTGAGAACCTACAGATGTAAAGAGGATATAAAGCAGGAAGCTGTTTACTAAAAGATGAACTTAAAGAGTCCAAAGGCGTGACCTGAAAAAGGATGTTGTCAAGGTAGAAGTGAAATATTACCTTTCCTACAGTGAGGGTGAATAGTTTACCTGGGACACTCCCGAGGTTTGAAGGCTTCAGATAAGATAGAAATTTCTTCTTTGTTTTTGTTTTTTTTTTTAAATATATACTAGCTTAATCACAAGAGGGCTGAATGAACAAGGGTCTGGGAGGACTATGTGTCAGTTATACAGGAAGTCAGATTAACTGCAGTAGGTCCCCTATTCCTAAAATCCATTTATTCTTTGAATTTACAGCTAACCCAGTGAGCTGTCCCCATACAACAGTGATAATGACTGTGACACACATGAGCAGTGTCTCTCAGGTCCAGAGAACAGACCATCCAAGCCCTCAGTCTCAGTGAGGGCTGTAACACATCCATGGATCCTACTGAACTGACCTGCTGCTATTTGCTGTTTTTCTTACAGCTTTGCTATTTGAGGCTGGAGGTGTGAGTCAGACTCAGCCTTCCTCTGTATCTTCAAACTGACAGCTGTTCTTGTGGCATCCTGTGCACTAAAATGATACTGATGGGTAAGTTTTTTCCTTTATTTTGTCAGATACCGCCTTCTGAACGCTGGTGTCATTCCAGAGGGAAAGTTTATTGACAGCAAGAAGGCATGTGAAAAGTTACTGTCTTCCATTGAGATAGATCACACTCAGTACAAATTTGGACACACTAAGGTAAACTGTTTAATTTTGCCATGCAATGAGAAATCATTCATTGCATTGAAATGTGAGCCCAGCAATGAGTGATCTCTGTTCCTTGGCTGCAGGTGTTCTTCAAGGCAGGTCTGCTGGGTGTCCTGGAAGAGATGCGAGATGATTGCTTAGGACAGTTGATCACATGGACCCAGGCTTTGTGCAGGGGATACCTCAGGAGACTTGAGCTGAAAAGAATGTTCGACCAAAGGTGTGTATCCTCTGCGAGGTCTGATTGCTCAAAGATGGGCTTTATTCACAGTACTGATGGAGCACTTTGGTTTCAGAGAGTCCATCCTCTGCATCCAGTACAACATCCGTGCATTCATGAAAGTCAAGCAGTGGCCCTGGATGAAGCTGTACTTCAAGTTAAAACCTCTCTTGAAAAGTGTGGAAACTGAAAAAGAAATGGCCACAATGAAAGAAGAGTTTGAGAGAACAAAAGAAGAACTGGCTAAATCAGAAACCAAGAGGAAAGAACTAGAAGAGAAAATGGTGATTCTGGTGAAAGAGAAAAAGGATCTGCAGCTGAAAGTACAGACGGTACGTAATTTAAACCAGATTTGGCTCTTCAGATTACATCAGGTTTGTCTGAGTGTTCAGGAAAGGGCTGAAAGCAAATTCTATTATTTCATGTTCCAGTCGCTTAATGAGCAGGTGATTTCTGCAAGTGTCAGTGCCAATGTTTGACAATGAAACACATTTCTGTTTTCTGTAAAAGGAAAATGAAAATTTGGCTGATGCTGAAGAAAGATGTGACCAGCTGATCAAAGCAAAATTCCAGCTGGAAGCAAGAATAAGGGAGATAATGGAAAAGCTGGAGGATGAAGAGGAGATAAATGCTGATCTGGCAGCCAAAAAGAGGAAACTGGAGGATGAATGCTCTGAGCTGAAGAAAGATTTTGATGACCTAGAGTTAACATTGTTCGAGGCTGAAAAGGAAAAGCATACCACAGAAAACAAGGTGCTTTTTATTTCTGCTATTTGCATGTTTAATAACAGTTGCTCTGCCTGTGTATAGGTTGTAAAGGTTCAGTCAGCTTGAACACTAACAGGAGTTCAAGTATAAGGAAATCCATGGGCCTGGTGTTGAATTTGGTCACAACTGTTGTGCAGGAAAACCAACCCATAATCATACAAAAATTCATAAAATCAAAGTTCAACATTGCTTCATGACTTCTGAAGGGTTGATATATAAGCAGAGAGATTGTATAGTTTGACCATATAATGCAAGTAAATAAGTCTCTTTGGCAGTCTTGTAATGAGTTCATTGCCTGTGTTCATCGATTATATAAAGGCCAAAATCATTAGTGACTTTCAAGTGTTTTGCCTTACAATAGGTGAAAAATCTGACTGAAGTAGTGACAGGTTTGGATGAGACTGTTGCAAAGTTAGTCAAGGAGAAGGCGGCTCTGCAAGAAGCCCAGCAACAGGCTCTGGATGACCTGCAAATTGAGGAGGACAAAGTTAATAACCTCACCAAAGCCAGAATCAAGCTGGAGCAGCAAGTGAACCACGTGAGCATGTTCAACACAAGGAGAAGGGGTAGATTCTTCAGTTGTTCCATCAGTTGTGTTTATATATGTTTCTGTTACAGGTTGAAGGATCTTTAGAACTGGAAAGAAAAGTGTGTGTGGATCTTGAACGAGCAAAGAGAAAGCTTGAGGGAGACTTGAAACTTGCACAGGAAACCATAGTGGATCTGGAGAATTATAAACAACATTTAGATGAAAAATTAAGGAAGTACGAGATAAAAAATGTGACAAATTTACTATTTGGTTTTAACTGGACATATTTTCTTTTTATTAAAAGAACATTTCCTTCACAGGAAAGACTTTGATTTTAACCAGAAGCAAAATAAAATTGTGGAACAGCAGAATTCAGGTACTCAATTGCAGAAGAAGATCAGAGAATTGCAGGCAAGATACTTCATGTAACTATTTCGTCATTACTGTGTGCTTGTTTAACCTGCAGTACCATGAACAATGCTTGTCCATGGTTTGGCATCGGCTCCATCAGACATGGGGGAAGCAGCTTCTCATAGAAGCCACTCGTGCATCCCCCCACTACCAAAACCTGTCCACACAAGCCCCATACAACAAGAGAGAGCTGAGATCTAAAGTTACCATGAGTGGATCCATAGGTCCTTTCCTGTTAGTAACTTTTTGCCTACATTGCCAAAACAGTGGAATTTTAAAGGAGTTTGTTTTGCTTATAATCTCCAAAATAAGGGGCTTGGTGTTCTCCTGTGACAAGTACACACTAACCTAAGCACTGAATTACCTGTTCCCTATTTAATTCCTGATGTGCTATTCCCTTATTATTCAGGCCCATGTTGCAGAGCTGGAGGAGGAGACTATGAGTGAGAAAGCGACACGGGCAAAAGCAGAGAAGCATCATGGTGAGCTGGCTCAGGAACTTGAGCAAATCAGAGGAAGCCTTGAAGAGGCTGGAGGAGCCACCACTGCTCAAACAGAACTTAACAAGAAGCGGGAGGCAGAATTCCAGAAGATGCGCCGGGACCTCGAAGAGGCCACGCTGCAGCACGAAGCCACGGCTGCAGCCCTGCGCAAGAAGCACGCGGACAGCACGGCTGAGCTGGGGGAGCAGATCGACAACCTGCAGCGCGTCAAGCAGAAGCTGGAAAAGGAGAAGAGCGAGCTCAAGATGGAGATTGATGACTTGGCCAGGAGTACAAAGACCATTACAAAGTCCAAGGTGTTTCTTTACAAGTTAAATACTTGAATTGCCAACATTTCTGTCTGGTGGGAATTTAATGCCATACAAACACACCTACACAGGTTTCACTTTCTTACTCTCTTTCAGGCTAATCTGGAAAAAAGGTATCGGACCCTGGAAGACCAGATGAGTGAGATGAAAGCCAAATCTGAAGAGAACCAGAGGAATTTGAATGAGATGGTGATACAAAAAGCCCAGCTCCAGACAGAGTCTGGTAAGGAAGGCACAAAGATGTGCTGAGAGGATATGTTTTTCCTTCAGTAGCAAAGAGGTTCTCTAGTGTGTGCCATGAGTGAGACCTAATTGTTCATTGGTACAGGCCCAGGTAGCATTAGTAATAAATCAAAGGAAATGAGTTCATGAGGGACACTTTAAAGTTCATGTGCCAGTTGCAAGCGTTATTTGCTTAGGTAAATGATTCCCAGAATGATGTGACATAGTTCACTTATTTCATGCAGAGGAACTGTGAATTTGGGACAGTCCAAAATTATTTGAGCAACCTGTTAGAACTGCCCAGAGTGCACATGTTCACTGTGTGTGCAGCATCTGTTTTGTGCTCCCATCATGGAGCTTGTTGCTGCACCAAACGTGCTCCTTGGAACTGTGTGAGTGATGAGTGTGAACACTCCTTGGTCTGGTTGACTACAGGGTCAGACATCCCAAATCCCATCTGATGAAAACAGGAGCCCAAGAGTCTTCCTGACTGGTCCCTCAGTAAGATCCTCTGCTGAGCCAAGAACTGGGAGTGGCCTTCAGGTGCTGTCCCTACTAGGGAGAGATGGGTGAGTGTGTGTGAGTGACCCGTGGAGGAACACGTGGATGTGCTGTGTTCGGAGTTGCCTAGCACTAATAGTAACAGCTCGAGGCCACTAACTGTAGAAACTTAATTGAGAAAAGTTGTTCCAATAAATATCAGATGTGATTTCCTTTCCTTCTCAGGGAAAAGGAATGTACAACACTTCTAGATGTCATGTGGGAACACATAGACCATAACCAAATTTGTTCTTATTTTCTTCTGGATGATCTTTTGGAAGTGGTCGTGCTTGCAAGATGATTCTGTGATTCTATGACCAGTTTGTTGTAAGGTCATTGAGCATAGTGCTCAAGGGGAATCTTAGAACAAAACTGAAAACTTGAGAAAAAATGTAAAATGGCTCAGGAAAAATCTGAAAAAAAAAACCAATATTGGAGGGCTACAAGAAGTTCCAAGAATTCTAGAGATAATGACATGACCCACAGGCACCTCTCCAAGAAACGAGACAGGTGTCCTTCAGCCCACAGGACAGAGGGTGGTATGGAATATATGTTTTTCAGTTGTTGTAAATAGTATGAAGTGAAACTTTAGGGCTTACCTTTTGTATCACAGTATTTGTATCACCAATTATAATAATAATGGCCAGTCTTCGTGAGCGAAGATTTGGGAAAGGTCATTAACCCTTCGAGCCTGCGCAGTGGATTTTTTAGGTGAGACCCAGCGTGCGCTGAACTGAGCCCACCCTGTATTTATATACAGAGCCTATCTAAATATCTAAATTATAGATA